TGTACAGTCATAATGCTTCTTCTGATTTGTTATCTGAGAATATTCAAGGATATTTTTTTCTAGTATATTGGATAAAACCCAAGGGACAAGTTGAGTCTCTAGTTAACAGTATCGTAGTTTGTTAAACTACTGGACTTCCAATGATCACTCGATAATTAGGCAAGATTTTCAACCAGAAATTTCAACACCGGATACAAGGCAAAGTGTAATCAAGGTAATAGCAGTTAATTAAATAGTTATCAGTTAAGTGTCATAGAGGGTAAGAAAAATGAACAGTGATAGTTTCCTTTTTATTCTTAAAATACTTATTTACATGCATATAATAATCATAATGAAGCCTAAATGCTGGTCAGAACTTAGCATGAAAATGCTGAGTGAGATCACACAAGTACAAGTAAACACTTGTAAGATTGATAGAAGGTGGTTCTTTGCGTATTAACACCAAGAAACACTCAAGTATAGATAATGATTCACTTCAGTTATAGTAAGTTTCCCTCGTATTGGCAACAGTTACACAAGTAAATTACAGTATGTAATGTAAATTTGTCGCGTCATTGGGTGACCGGCGTTTCATAGAACGTCGGGGAGCTCTTAATTATCACTTATTACACACGGCGTAACTAAAGCTTGTACAAGATCACTGAGACGAAAAAGTAAGGACTTACGATGAGTCGATACTTACAGTAGGTTGGACACACGGGGGACTTGTAGGTCTAACCCTCAGTTGTCGTTTAGTTTGACCAACTACAGATATGTGGTTTAGATATAAATATCAAGTCCCCGATGAACTGCAGTCCTCAGTTGTTTATTCATTCAAATGTAGTCGCTATAATGCGACTTTTGTTGGTGAGACGAAGCCGCTCGTTTACACCAAACCAACCATTGTCTAAAACACTTTATTCAGCAATCAGAGACCATAGCCACACATCTGATCATCCTATATGTAAGGCAGGCGTCACCATCCTCACGACAAGACACGGGTCACAGTCAGTATTGGGCACTCACGACTCCACTTCATTACCTTGTTTTTAACGTGTTTGTTTTGTTCTTGTTTGTTGTAACATATAGTTTGTGCTTACTTTTGTATTTTTTCCTGTAAGATTTAAGCTTTTATTAAATTTAGTGTTTTGCTCTGTATGGATAAATTGAAGTAAAGGTTAATAATTAATTAATGACTCAATGGTTTATTGTTCAATGTATTTTTATTTATTTTTTCTTTCACTGTACTTATATTATTCTATTCGTCATATTACTTTTTCGATGCTACTGTATTAAATTTTATGTTTGAGGCCTGACGATGACAAGAGATTTGTTGAAACGTTACCATACGTCATATATATATATATATATATATATATATATATATATATATATATATATATATATATATATATATATATATATATATATATATATATATATATATAATATACAGTTCTTTTCGTACAAGTAACAACCAAAAATGTGTAGTCGTGACTAGTGTTTGGTTATTGTGGCTTAAGAGAAGTGCAGACAATATTTTCGTTCAATTATAATTATATAATTACTATTATATATGTATGAAACTTCCTAAATCAACATAGACCCATAAACACGTCTACTGACTAAAATCAGAATAAATCTACTTCAACACAAATCATTCAAGGTACAAAACACTAGCACCTAGGTCATAAAATACCTGTATATCTCTGTAATGGTAACAATAAAAATACACAGCATGTGTAAATATAACATAAAATCCCACCTTATAATTACTACAAACCAATCCTGGGAAAACTGGCCTTATGTGGTTACTCTACTGCATCAAGATTCCTCGTAGACTCATTGAATGGACATGGATTTTGTTGTTTCTATTCAGAGAACCAACGCTTTGAACAAAGTGCCCCAGTCAGCCAGGCTACAAACATTCCAAATTTCACCCCAGACCAGTTTGTTCAGTTTGTAGCCTACAATGTTGATCATAACACAATAACCATTGCCGGCAAGAACACCTACCATGGCATGGCAACGATTGCTTCAATAACACTTGGCACCAAGAGCAGTTATCGTGTTCCTATAGTGTCACAGCAGCTACCGAAGACATATGCATCATTAGATAAGTGAACATTCAGTACTTCACATCAATATTTGAAGCCATTAGATCTTGCCATAGCACAGAATGTTTTTACCAGATGCAAGAAGTATTCATATCCCTTGGAAAGCTTCTTTATCTGTGTGTCCTATGAGGCCCGGATGGTCAGTTTTAATGCAAATGATACTCGAGTGACTTCAGGTGTGTTTATGCCTTCGTGAAGTTTGTTTAATCATGCCAAGAAGTACAGTGCTACATCCATTGTAACCTTTGACCAGCCATTCTGGTGGGAGGTCCTTCAGATAATGGAGAATGAACCTGAAGAGAGTGACCTTCGATGCATTGTACTACGGCTCTGTGGTTTCCACAAGGAGATGAGTTTCGTAGAATGTATTGGTCACATACTGGCAGGGTCAGGCCTTCAGTATATATTGGAGCAAATTCTATGCCAGCAATTCTGTAAGTCATATTGCTAACTGGAAAAGCTTTGGAAAGAGGTAAACGAAGGCATTTTCTGGTTGGCGCAGCACTTAATGCCATGCTGGCCTCTAAAACATACAAGGTAGATGTTCCTTTCAATATTCAGTCACAGGACCAAAAACAAGAGGATAGAGATGACCAAACCATGTTCAGTGAACACACTCACTCAACAAAAGAAGATGATGTTACTCGAAATGATCATATAGGGGAAGGCCAACTGAATGTAGCTGAGACAATCACACCTTGAAAATTACCCCCAGAAAATCTTGGAAAACTTGATGATGCAGGCTAGGTGAGATGTCAGGGCTATCCCATCTGTTGCTACCTATTGAACTTGCTGTTGATTCCACCGCTGACACCTTTGATGAGTTGTCAGGTAATCCCACTACTTGTCACCTTTGATACAACTACTTTCCCGCTGGTTACCACCTTTGTACTGGTTGTGGTTGGCAGTTGGAATCACCACAGCAGGCCACTGTTATGCTTTTAGTTATCTTAGCTAGTAAGTTACACAAGACATATTTATAGTTTTATGTTCTCTCTTTGTTCCTTGGCTTAATTTTCTAGTTATATTGGGGGTAGTAAAGCCTGTACAGTTATTTGGCATTGTCAGACTGATGAGCATCAATTACTAGCGAGTAATTAGCTGAGAGAGAGGTAAGTATAGCCTAGAGAGCCTGTCTCGGGATACGACGTCAACGTGTCGTGTCGGGCTATCAACTGACATAATTTAATTGGTAACCTCACTTCACCAGGCCATTAGCATAACAGCTGACATCAACAGAGGACTGATGTGGAGGTAAATGGAATGTCAGACAAGATGGTGTGATATAAACAGGTGGTTATTCTAGCGAGATGCTCATTATTAGTTCCGCATTTATATAATATTAGTGTCTTTATATTTCACAGAGGCTAATACATTGGCCTGGTTTATTATGAGGTTACTGAGGGCTACCCTCCAGTCAACGACTTTAATACTTTATTTGAAATTAAACAATTCAATGATCACATACCAGTAGTAAAGGATTACCTAAGAACGCCCTGTAATGCCGAACTATGGCTACAGTACATGGCAATTATGAACATAATGAGAAAGTTCCAGGAAGCAGAAAGGACCTGCTTAACAATTTTAGTTGTTAAAACACATAAACACATAAGAGGGACTCTGTTCTTAGATGAGGCACAAACGATATATTACTCGGAGTAGTCAGACTGCCAGGATGTGATAAGATGTACCCCCCTTGAAACAAGAAAACATGTCTTAATGTGTAACTATTGTTCTCAAATTTACAAAATTAATTTAAGTAAACGTTTTTAAATGACCCCGACAGTTATATCCCTAAATACCTTAAAACAAAACTCCCTAAAACACGTTTTTTTTGTTCATTGAAAGCTAAAGTGGGTTCAGTAGGCATGACGGTCCATTAAGGATACAATGCATTATATTAAGATTCGGTACAGATGGCTCAACGTGGGCGGCACACCGCCTTGTTTCTCCTTCTATAAAATTAGGAACTCATTTACAGCGAGGTGGTCAGTGGGTACCAGCCACCCTTATAGTCCCTGTCCTTGATGTTATTACCCTGTCGAACTTTTTATATTGGGTTGCTGTTATTGACCCTAAACTATTTAGTCTTTCCAGAACCTGTTGTGTTTCTCTACTAGGCTGTCAAATCCATGATGGCCGCCGATGGTAAAGAGCAAAAATTAAACGTGCCATAATTTTCTAACCAAACAACAAAGAATAATAATAGTTTTATTATTTCCGATTGATTCTAATATTGCTGACAAGTGGAGTGGTTTTATTTTATGTTTGGTCATTATAAAATTGCCCATATCTGAGGAACCAAGTGAGCAGGGATAGTGAAACTGGGGTCTGAGGTTCATCGTTGATAAGATTCAAAATTGCGCCCAGTATTGAAGATGACCACCAGAATATCTCTGATAGTTCTTGTCCAATGAAGCGAAATGTCTTGGAAAACACTAGCTTGTTAAACAACACCACTTAGAAAGATAATTTCATATTATTTATGATTGCCTTTTATTAAAACAAACATTCAGTTGGTATATTCCGTTCTATACAGTGGTTCATGTTTTCTTGTTCACGTTCAGTCAGATTTTTTTTTAGCTCTGAGCTACAATTTCATTTTTCGCCAAATTGTTAATGAGCGAAATAGATATTCAAACTTTCCGCTCAATTTTTTCTTGAATATTACTGATTCAACTGAGGTCTTTGTCCTTACTATTTTTCCGACATATTTAGTGGAGTTGTGGTGCGCTTTGTCTTTGGCGACGAATAAAACTGAACCCTATTGATGAAGGAAGTAATGTTGTTATGAGTGTTCTCAGCTGATGTGAGAAAAAACGAGGGTGTAGAGAAGTCTGGGGTGAATGGGAGGGTGAGAGCTGCCAGCTGACACAGTCACCTTGGACCATGGCAAGAGGAGCTCCTCGCCCAGTATAAAACAGACTTGGTGGCCGGTGTTCCTCACTCTCCCACTGACCACCAACATGAAGAGCTTCCTCGTCCTCCTCTGCTTCGTCGCCCTCGCTTGGTAATACTTTACTGTCCCAATTACTTACATTTTTCTGCTTTAATAATGCTATATGCACATCATATATCCAGGGCTAGGAATTTCAATGAGAGCATCTATGTTTTAGTGTTTCCAAACACCATTTCACGAAACTCATGAAAGTAAGAAAATGAAAAACGAATCAAGGAAAACATATACTGTATTTGAAAATCATTCATCCCGGCCCATGCACCCCAAGTCACAGACGCAGAAAATCCTACTTATCTTAATTGTGTCCAATAGAAATTATGTTTTGATTGCTGTTTAGTCACCGAACGATAACACTTGCTCTAGGCCCGATACTGAACGTGTAGTCAGGGCTGCCAGACATCCTCTCAGAAAAAACGGAAATTTAATGTTAGGAAATTGATTTTTTTGCCAGATAATGTATTTTAAGGTTTTTAAAAAGCTAGTTGATGATAAACAATATTAAAGATAAATAAGACTAAACACTACGACAGTATTCGATCAATGGCAAGCGCTGCTGGGGGGAACCTCTGAGACTTGGGGCCCGGAACTATGTTTTTCAATCTGGGAGTTAGAGCAAATACGTGTGTTGAGCCGCCATGTTGTAACTGTCTTCAGGGAAGACTGAGCTACAAATATTTCTGTCCTGTATTAAAATTTAAGCTGCCAGGGAGTTACTTAACACTAAGTTATGTCTGTCATTCGTAACTGCTTAGTATCGACACTTGAAGTGTTGCACATATAGTCACATACGTCACCTCTTTGTTTGTGGTCCATTGTGTGCTGAGATTCAGACTAAGTGTCAAGGTAATTCGTCTGTGTAGTCGGTTAGGTAAACGATGACCAGTACCCAGAACACGAAAAGGGAGGACATGTAAATGCAAACACCACACAGGAACACGAAGAACTTCTACACTGCCAATCTTGGCGAGGGAGTATAGTAATGTAACCACAACAAGGTAAACGGTGGCTTGTGTTGGCAGGTCTCAGGAACGTCCCGAGTGCTGGTGCGGCGCCTTCGTCACACTGCGAGATTTAGAGTTCGAGGTGCTGCACCTTCCACCCATCGACGTAGATGGATGTGAAGATTTCATAGACTGTCATCACAGATGTACCGCCGAGGTGTGATATTTTACTAGTTTTTATAAACAAATTCACCAGAGTAATACCCAATTTTTTTCGCAGAATTATTTTGTTACTACTTTAAGCATGACATAATAACTATTCATGTATTATGCAGCGAGATTTTCTTTTTTATGCGTCTGTATCTATCAAGGTAACTTATGTCAGGGCGTCTGTTTGCCCCCAGTGGTAAAAATTTCCTCCATGTGTTGACAGTGGACATTCATCCTCGACGACGGGGACTTGGATCATGAATTGATTGATGGCAAGACGGCGGGCCAACATATGTGTGATAACCTGGTGGAAGAAGGCACTAAGGACCTCCCTCCTCACCAAGTAAGATTTAAGCCAGAGAGAGAGAGAGAGAGAGAGAGAGAGCCACATCCAGAATACGAGATTTAAATGGAATGAGAAACAGACCAACTATTTATAATGTACCATCAAATTCTGACAAACTTAGAGTTAAACAAACCACACGCAGATGGATACACTGACACCTCACCCATGTCCACACATACTCAAGCACACGTGACACCCATACAACCATATAATGTCAAAAGTCACCTACAATCAATTCTATCCAAGATAAATATAGTCATCCACAGTGCTCTCACCACACACCACACCTGAACTTACATCACATCTTCCTCCAGAGGTTCAGGCTGGATAACTTATCGCTCTTTATAATCACTGATCATCCTACCACTTACATATTTGTATCCATGTCTGAAAGTAAACCATCAATAACACACACACACACATATATATATATATATATATATATATATATATATATATATATATATATATATATATATATATATATATATATATATATATACATCACTTGTCAATATCACTCACTTTTAACTTTTTAATCATGATTTTTAATAGGTCCAGAACACAGCAGTGACGTTACTTGTATCATTTCTTTCCATGCGTCTGTACACAACACCTCACCTGGGGAGGATCAGGTTAATCCCGACTGTTCCCTGTAGCACTTGTCCAGGTCCTCATTGTGTCATATACCCTACACGTAAACGTTTGGGAAGAACAGTTCCTGGACCCTCACATAACACCCCGGGGGCTGGAGAGGGAACTTGAGAGGTCATACAGTATGGTAGACAGGCTGTTCTGGCCTCACTGGACTCCACTGCAGGATCACCTCACAGAAGCCAATATATTTCACTTACATTTAATTAAATGCTTAGAGTTTATGTACACAACAAAGGCACTGAACAAAACCTATTTGTTTAGTCACTTTTCACCGAGACAACCTATCATAAATATTCATCACGAGTCTTATTTAGAATCCATAGTGAGAAGTGTTTAGAGGTGAAACACAGCTGTGATAACCCCAGTAGTTGAAGAAGACAAAAGTATCAAAATATGACCTTTTCAAAATTAGAACTAATAATTTATTGAAAACCCCATATACATAAACACCAATTCTGCCTGAACACATCTTCATTTTCTGCTACATATTTGTACTCTATTTTAACTCTTTAAATGTATGTAAAGTTCACAGAGATCTATATAATGTTAAGAATATCTTAATTTGTCAATATTTCTCATTACACAGTGAAGAATTTATCATATCTTTCAACAGTCAGTAACTAACTCCCCCCAACACCCAGGTCTACCTGTACTACCAGCTGTGCAGTACTCCCTGGTTGTTCGACGGCCAGACAAGCCAAAACAGTCTGTGTTGCCTCAATGGCACATACCATCACTGTCCGTAAAGTCACTCGTCTTCCTTTGAGACCATCGGAAATATCTTTCAACTGAGTCTTCTACCTGAAGCTGTCAATACCTGTCAACCGCAGGAATCTCTTACAGCGATATCTTCTTCAGTAACCTTTATCCAAACACCATCTATAACGTTTGTCTCAAGAACAACTTGAACTTAACAGCCATTGAATGTTTCTTCCGAGAACAATGATTCTTGTACTTTTTTATGTAATTAACATTGATGGTTGCGACCCGAAGAACTCTCGCAACCTCTTAGAAAATTAACTAAATACATGGAAGTTGTTTCTGTGTTTCACAAAAACACTGATGTACGCGATGAAGTTATCTGATGATGTAAACAATAAATGTATTTAAGTATTTGGCATTATCAATACTTCCCTTCACATTCCTTGCACGTGATAAAACTGTAGAGAGTCTTCACAGTTATTCTGGCACATTTTTGTAAGAGTAAAAATGTTTTAAAAGTTAATGGGGCACCCGCTAAAACGTTTCCTTTTGATGAAAGATAATAGCTGGAAATTTTCAGGTTGACAGTGATTTAGGCATCGCTCAACAATGTACGTTTTAACAAAATATGTGAAATGTAATTTGACAGATTTATTCAAATGCTTTTGCAAAATATTACGTATTATTATATATTTTTTAACACTTACAATATCAAATACATTATTGTGGTATTACTGAGGCTATTTGAGCCACAAAACTGCTACCTACCGATACACACAATGGCAATAGATAGATTTTAATGCCATTCTATGTGTCACGTTTCTTGTGCCAAACCCCTTTTGGTGTCTCTCTACAACAGTGGTTCTCAACCTTGTTTGCCCCATGCACCCCTCACCATATGTCAGAATGTCATTACCCCCTGGTAACCGATGCATACTGAATTTTGTGCCGCCCAGGGGAGCTCAAAGGCAATAAAAAGATCAACATTCTAACAGTTGAGTTTGCTAATCTGTGGTCCCAATTCCCCCCCCCTGGTTGAGAAACCCTGCTCTACAATATGAAACACACTTTCTCACTCTTTATTATTATGTGTTATAGTGTGTTGATTTGCTCAGTGAGAGTGATCCGCTTCTCAGTGCTGTCATTTACAGCTGTGAGTTTTCACATGAGTTTGGCAGCTGCTTGGTAGCTGTCTTTTCCATCCCATTCCACAACTGGCACAGCATGGAACGAATCATCCAGATCACGTGTTGTAAAGAAGCCGTGAGAGGGAGTGAGCTCAGTTGGCACAGCAGGAAACTTGCGCCAAAGGTGTAGGTTCACACTGACAGGATATCACATTTACAAATTATTGTTTCAAAGTGGTTATGAGACAGTCGCTGAACAAAGCCAGTGTGGTGAGTTCAGGGCTGACATAACACAAATGCAACAACAACATCTGCCAGCTGGAGCTGCTTGTCATTGTACATCAACAGACGATTGTGAAAATCAGTATTATTCAGTGGTGCATCGACAATAGACCAAATAGTAGTAAACCAGGACTCCATGTAGATACAGAGCAAAAAGTCATTGCTTGCAACTCTCGTGGCATTATGTGAATGTTGTCCTCATTTTCTTCATAGAGCAATTCAATCTTGAGGCTGTAGACTGCATTTGTCGCCCATAGTGGTGGTGGATAGCTCCAGGTCTCCTGATGTATTTGCCAAATAGTGCAGCGACCTGAAAACCACAAGGACTCTAGGTAGTCCTCCATTGGCAGTTCACTACTCTTGGTCAGTTGCTGGGTTATGAATGGTCTGATACTGGTTGGTACATTAATCAAAAGTGTTGCTCTGGTTTAAGGATCTGGGTGGAGTATTGGCCAAGCATCCTTAAACCTGTTGAAAACTTGAATGTCAGGTCCACACGTTGAGCTGAAGCAGATCTGGAAGGCATCAGATAGGAGCAACTCCAACGTATGGTGTCGACAAGCCAACCAGAGAAGTGGCCGTCCCAAGAGACCTTCCATAATGTATAAACTCCAAAGCGAATTCCACTGTTTGCAGCAGTTGTGTCAAAACATATGTTAATAGCTGCAGATTTTGCTCCCCACAATTCCAATAGTTAAGAGACAACCTCTACAGCAACCTTTCCTGTGCCACTCTCCACATTGGGGACACCTACCAACAGTGTCACCACCTAGGTTGCATCAGTGGCAACATCTTGGGAGGCAAAAAATACCCCCACCCCGAACTTCAGAGGGTTAACAAAGCAATGTGATGCCTGCAAAATAGTTCGTACCATAACCTATCTACCCGATGACATATACTTATGTGTATGTTCATAATAATCTCTACATATATCAATTGACAAAAAGAACTTACATGAGAGAGATAAAGTTGTGGGGGCTGCAGCGTCGAGTCACAGGTACTGGACTGTCTGATCATAGACATGCAAGTATTAAATGTGCAAGGCAGGGATGCAGAACCTTTTTGATTTGGGAGCCACACCAGAAGACTCTGTAATGATTGTCTATCATACCATAGCATACAGCCCAGAGAACAACAACACACATAGCAATATCTAGATGAGCAGGTGTACACCCATGTAAGTTGACCCACCCTACAGTAATCAAAGTGAGATTAAGACCTGACCCCAAAAAGGTCATGGTCACAAAGGGAAAATGAATTCTCGCAGTCGTGTGATGAGGGAACCGGCGACATGTTCTTGTTAATTCAAGAAACTGCCCTCCAGCCAGCAAACCGACACCTGACCAAACACACCCAGGGTGGTAATAATTAGGAAGTATTACCGACTGGCGTACCACAATAAGCGACGTGACTCAGTGACTCACCAAGCACACGCCGGTACCACTCACCCCAGCAATATCAGGCCCTGCAGCAAGTGTCCCCAGCCGCTGGGACTCCCTCAGATCACACGTGAGTCTTTGTCAGAGCGATCCATAGGGTGAGTTACTTACGGTGGGAAGTGTATCCATTTCATGTTTGTGTCCGGGAGTCATTGTCTAGTAACGTTAATATAATGATCTATTAATGTTTCCATGCCATTCAGTTAACTAATAAATAGCTGTACTTAGAATTGTTGTTTAGAAGATTCCCCCTAAGAGCATATACCAAGTCAAATAACTATTCGGCCATGCTACCAACTTTCTTCACTTTACAATCCCCCTACTATAAATTCTTCCATTATATTCATATCAGATGTCTCTCATTATAATGGACTCATGAACTCCGCAAAATTTGGGCAGGTCCTCGTAATTAGATGAATAAGTTATACATTTAAAATTTTCATTCAAATGTATTATAAATATTATTGATATCCAACAATAGTCTGTGGGCAGTGCAGTATATGTTTTCTCACAACTAAGTTATTACAGTGAAAATACATAATTGATTAATATTCTTACCACGTGGAAAGTTTTTCTATATTTTATTTATTTTTTGTCTTGAGAGAGGAGCTTCTTCGTGTTGGGATCTAAATTCGTGGTTGTCAGTCGCCAAATGGAGAATACTGTAGCAACGTTCTGTCACAAACACTTGTAGAAATTGAACAAGTTCCTTCCATAAACCTTGCATAATTCTGGAGATCAATCAACAGTAAGTAGGCCTCGAGTTCTGATGTCTCCAGGTGAAACAGAGAAGAAAATACTGAATAGTTGAACAATTTTCTTCCCTTTCTCGAAGTCTCCAAATCACTTATCAAACGCTTCCAGAATATTTTAAATATATTTTGCATAGTTTTCAGCTTTGTGATCCACATTGTGCTTTTGAAGCATATTTTGATAAGTTGGAAAATGTTTGAACTCACCTTTAATGAGTTGTGACTGAAACATATGACTGTTAACAACTTACCTTTAATGAGTTGTGACTGAAACATATGACTGTTAACAACCCACCTTTAATGAGTTGTGACTGAAACATATGACTGTTAACAACTTACCTTTAATGAGTTGTGACTGAAACATATGACTGTTAACAACTTACCTTTAATGAGTTGTGACTGAAACATATGACTGTTAACAACTTACCTTTAATGGGTTGTGACTGAAACATATGACTGTTAATATCAACAAGAAATGCTACATCGTAAAGTCACTCCACATTTTCAAGCTCTGGAACTGCTTTTCTCTTTTCATTGACAATTTCATACAAGAGGTCAATGAATCGTTACAGTGTATTTCCCCGACCTAACTACCTGACTTCTGAGAAGAAAACAAGATTACTGTAATTATGTACTCTGCTTCAATGTCTTCCAGAAACGGTTCCATGATATTTGCTCTCAAGACAAATACTCACAACATTATTGGAAAGGAAGACAAATGCTCACAGTTTTTTTTTAATTATTTGCAAATGACAATTTAATAAAAACAATATGAAAACCTAACCTAACCTAACCTAGCAGCAATAGGATACTGCATCCGATTGAAGTAGTAATAATTTTAATATATTGTGACATTTTTATACATTATGCCCCCAAGGGAGCCACGGCAAGAATTTAGGGATGCCACGGCGAGCTGTTATAAATTGTACACGTAACATATTTAGACGGGGAAACTATCCACAATAACTTAAAATTTTATAATTGTCCCTTAACTTCATGAATCGTGTCTACATTAATTCGATAAAGTACATTTAGTTTTATATAGGCGCTTATGACTAAAGGGTATGAATTAAATTATAGCAAGCGAGTATTACTGACAGCAGCAGTTTATTCCACTAAATACTGTACGTCCAGCCAATAAATCAGAGTACAGGATTGGCGACCACAGTACTTTAAACGCTTCGGGGCTGCTTTTACTAATCCTACTGACACTTTTTTTTTAAACTTGATCATTGATATTTAAAGTGAAAGAGGATCCCATAAAGTTGGCAGCCCCTGATGGACTGTGTGGATACAGCCGACTTTATATTAAGTTTCGGTACACAAGGGATAACGTGTCCAGCGCTACACCACACCACCTTCACCTCTCGAACTGTAAAATTAAACTCACCTTTACAGTTGGGTGAAACGGGGGTGACACGAGGCTGAAGCAGCGACTTTTTATACATAAGGCAAGAGCTGTATACACTCGGCTGCTGCACTCTCGTATTTGATATTAGTTGTGACTAAACGTCAGATGTTTGATTCTCAAAACTCAATACTATAGCAGTACCTTGAACGCACCAGGAACATATATTTTAAAATTAAAGAATTAATCACTTAATGTCAATCAGAGATGACCGCTGGGAGCAACAATATTATTCACACGAGTAATCAGCCCAGCTGTACGTCCTCTAAGCTGTAAACGTCCGCTTATACGCCGTTCCCTCAGTGAAGCTCAACAGAGAACAGTAATCACCCATTAATATAGTCAATATTCAGTCATTGGAGTCCCTCTTTCAGGTGTTTGCGAGCATCACTGTAGTGCGAAGTTAGCAGGCTGCTGAATACAGGGGACGGAGAGACCCCAGTAATGACTGAGAGATTCATCTCTCTTGATTTTTAAATGTTGTTTTCTCGTGGGAGAACTAACTTAGTATACGTGCTAAAAGGCTTTAATTGTTAAAGAACATCAGTGCATTATAACAGCAGCCACAGTTCATGATGATCCGGTCAACTGGTCGATGTGGGCCGCCTCACATTCTGTAAGTGAAAGTTATATCTTGTGGTCGATATAAGGGTAGACAATATTCACGTATAACACGACCAGTTCACGCCCAGAGTTCTGACTTCACCATCTCGGCTCACACTCGTGGATTAAGCAGATTTAATTCTGGAAAATATTTCTCTTAGTGTTTCTCAAACTGGGGTTCGCGAACCCCCAGGGGTACGCACGTGGGTTCCCAAAGGGTACATTGAGGGCTGGCGAAAATCAATATAGAATATATTAATTACACCATATTTGATTCATGAGGTGATATAAATTTAATGTTATAAATACAATATGGAAAGTAGCTTCTCTCCAAGCACCAAATATGTTTTAACACTGCCATTCTATATTGAATTAGTGTTTATGTAGTACCATTCTGTATTCAGTGTCACAGTAATGGGGGTAAAGGTCTGGTGACTCAGGGGGGACCCGTGAGAAAAAGTTATAGAACCCCTGCGTTACATTTTGGTGACGTCACACATACTCTCATTCTATGATCAGTTTCCTTAAATCCGACTGATTTGGTTCGCTCCTTCCTCTCCAGTGTTTAGTGTTTCTCGCTAACTTTCAGTCAGATTACTTAGCTTTGAGCTACAATCTAATTTCCCCCCAAAATTTGTATTTAAACTTAAAGATCAATTGAAGATATTTTTTTCTTGAATATTACTGATTCAACTGAGGTCTTTGTCCTTACTATTTTTCCGACATATTTAGTGGAGTTGTGGTGCGCTTTGTCTTTGGCGACGAATAAAACTGAACCCTATTGATGAAGGAAGTAATGTTGTTATGAGTGTTCTCATCTGATGTGAGAAAAAACGAGGGTGTAGAGAAGTCTGGGGTGAATGGGAGGGTGAGAGCTGCCAGCTGACACAGTCACCTTGGACCATGGCAAGAGGAGCTCCTCGCCCAGTATAAAACAGACTTGGTGGCCGGTGTTCCTCACTCTCCCACTGACCACCAACATGAAGAGCTTCCTCGTCCTCCTCTGCTTCGTCGCCCTCGCTTGGTAATACTTTACTGTCCAAATTACTTATATTTTTCTGTTTCACTAATGTTATATGGGAGGCGTATCTCAAACTGGAAGTTATAGCGAAAGTTCGTTAGTTGAATCACTGTGATGTGACCGTCTTCAGGAGAGACTGAGCCAGAAAAAAGCAGAAGTATGAGTCCTTCTGAGAGCAATGATTACATTTGAATTTTACCTACCGGGAAGTTAGGTAGCACTCAGTTGTCTGTTACTCGTAAATGCTCGGCACTGAGACTTGTAATGATACAGACATACTGTACGTCATGTCTTTGTTTGTGGTGCATTATGTGTAGAGACCCGGTCTGTATAGTCGGTCAGGGAAACACTGACTAGTACTGTATATCAACACTCCAGCACACGAAAAGGTATCATTAGACTCAAGGGAGGTGCCTGGGGGCACTGTAATGCTGTAATGAGGATGAAAATGAGCTTGACAATTATTTTACAACTCTATTTATGCATTTACAAAACAATTTTATTTAATGACAAAGTTTAATACTGATTTGTAAACTCTGGTAGCATATGAAATATAACCCTATAATTTGAAACTTATACATTACGATTATAAATAACCAATATTATTTTAGTACCTTCTTAAGTACATACAGGCCTACTATTAAATGCATATCTGTTAATAATTTCACTGTGTGACGCTGTTTAACTAAAAAGGAGTAAATGCCAGATGTTAATTTATGGTTCATTGTTTCATAACCATAAACCACAACACTTGAACATTTATTTGTATGGCCAAGAAATATAAGAACAGTATAATCACAACCCATCTTAACGTACAAATGGCAAATTCCTTTTGTCCATCAATAGCGTATCTGCCAATGACTGCCTGAGGAGGGCAGACAACTGTAGTACGTCCGGAGTAACACAAGCTCCTCAAGTCTTTACTCTGACAGTACCTCTGATGGCGGTCAACCTTGCTGAACACCTATCCTCTCTGCCTCATATATTGCCACAGGCAGTATTGCCATAAGGGGGACTGCAACTATTGCAGTGTGAGGTGGTTGATATGCCGGCCACTATATTTTCCATATTTTAAACTCCGTCTTCACATCACATTCATCAAATGAGGTTTCAGGAGTTATACATATTTGGCATTTGCAGGTTTCGCATCAACCCAAGATTATGTAGCTTCAAGGCTTAGCATGATGCAGTTGAGTCCCGCTAACATTTCTGCGTGTGGGAAGAACATAATAGAATCGTTAGAGTTGGTTTGGCTGCACTTGTCGGTCTCTTTGCCGTGTCCAGTTGTATCACGATAGCCGGACCTGGACGGGAGACTTGGTTTCTTCAACTCTACCTCCATCATTTCTGCTATGCCTCCAAATAATGTCTTGCATTCCTCTCACAACGACTGGAGTTCTTAATTTATATTCTTTAGCAGTTTCATTACGTGAATAATATCCCCATCTTTCTCGTGAAGTAAAGATAATGCTTTGAGGCGCATCAGTGAAACCAGAGTTTAATTTTCCAAGAAATCTAAGCGAACTAAAACGGTTCTAACCTTTTTCGAATTGCTGCAGTTTACCATTATTTATATAATCACACTGTTAAGGTTTGTGAATTTTACAATATATACTTATATTTGGTGGAGGTGGTGGCGGGTGGTGTGAGTGTGATACTGGTGGGTGGTGTGAGGGTGGTAGTGGTGGTGGTAGGTGGCGTGTGTGTGGTAGTGGTGATGGTAGGTGGCGTGAGTGTGGTAGTGGTGGTGGTAGGTGGCGTGAGTGTGGTAGTGGTGATGGTGGTGTGGTGTGGTGGTGGTGGTGGTGGGTGTGGGTGTGGTGGGTGGTAGGTGGCGTGGTGTGAGGTAGTGGTGGTGGTGGTGTGGCGTGAGGTGTGGTGTGGTGGTGGTGGGTGGCGTGAGTGTGGTAGTGGTGGTGGTGGGTGGCGTGGAGTGTGGTAGTGGTGGTGGTAGGTGGCGTGGTGTGGTGGTGAGGTGGGTGGTGGTGGGGTGGCGTGAGTGTGGTAGTGGTAGTGGTGGTGGTAGGTGGCGTGAGTGTAGTAGTGGTGGTGGTGGGTGTGGGTGGGTGTGGTAGTGGTGGTGGTGAGTGGCGTGAGTGGTGTGGTGGTGGGGGTGGCGTGAGTGTGTGGTAGTGGTGGTGGTAGGTGGCGTGGTGTGGTGGTGGTGGTGGTAGGTGGCGTGAGTGTGGTGGTGGTGGGGTGGGTGGCGTGAGTGTGGTTGGTGGTGGCAGGTGGCGAGTGGTGGTGGTAGTGGTGGTTGGTAGGTGGCGTGAGTGTGGTAGTGGTGGTGGTAGGTGGCGTGAGTGTGGTAGTGGTGGTGGTAGGTGGCGTGAGTGTGGTAGTGGTGGTGGTAGGTGGCGTGAGTGTGGTTGTGGTGGTGGTGGGTGGCGTGAATGTGGTCGACTTCTTGAACTGGATGAGTGAGAATCATCAGAGCAATAGGGCGCTTCTTTTCTACTGCAGGTCCTGACACATGCGTTAAGGGAAGCATGGACCCTTTGGCCCTCCCTAGACCCACCAGTGCAAGAAATGACATATTAACGCATACACCACATAGAGAGACACCAAGAACTTTTAAACTACCAAACCTGAGGCAGTATTATAAGGTACACACAACAAGGTAATCAGTGGCTTGTGTTGGCAGGTCTCAGGAAACTCCGGAGTGCGCGTGCGGCGGCTTCATCTCTGAATGGAATGACTTGTTCGAGGTGCTGCACCTTCCACCTATCAACGTAGATGGATGTGAAGATTACATGACATGTCATGAACGGTGTGTCGACGAGGTGCGATATTTTACTTGCTTATATAAACCAATTCAACAATGTAATACTCAAGTTCTTTATATAATTAATTCGTTCGAGATTCTACTTCAGTACACAATGAAATAACCATTCAAGTATTAGTCAGCGTGACAATCAAATTCATGTGTTTGTATCTATCAAGGTAACTTTAACTTATGTCATCGCGTATTTTTGACTTCAGTGGTAAATATTTCCTCCGTGTGTTGACAGTGGACGTTCCTGACCAACGACGGGGACTTGGACCACGAATTGCCTGATGGTAAGACGGTGGGTCAACATATGTGTGATAACCTCTCGGAGCATGGCGATGTCAATGTCCATCCATATCAAGTAAGATTTCAGCCATCCTAACAATTACAATAATTTAACTACGTATTAAGCTATGAAAAAACACACACACATACACACACACATTACAGTAGAGTTAAGAACCTGGGGGAGTGACAATAAGAAACAATTTAGTATGGAGAGCTATCATCGGGTAATCGCGGCTAACCCACGCAAGAGTGGAAAATGGCTATAAAACATTGATAAAATTATGGTATTTTATGAATGTCCAGAAGACACCTGTAGCGTTACCTGTATTATATCTTTACTTGAATCTGGAGACTAACTTACCTCTCCCGGGGAGCGTTAAGTTATACACAGCGGTGGCAGCTAAGCAAACCTAACTTAACCTAACCTACGTGTAATGCCATCATATATATATATTGTGTTGTCAATGTGTACAAGTCATGTGACTTTTTTTCCTGTGGACTTTTATTTCCGTCCACCCACATAACACCCCGGGGGCTGGAGAGGGAACTTGAGAGGTCATATGGTAGACACGTTGTTCTGGCTTCACTGGACTCCACTGTAGGATCACCTCACAGAACCCAATATATTTCACTTACATTTAATTAAATGCTTAGGGTTTATGTACAGTCGCTCAAAAAAATATCTGAAAAATATTGTTCATGGCAATATGACACATCGGGCGTATGTTTTGGGGAAATGGTAGAGGACCAGGCGTAAAGGTGGTAGCCCTGCTTGCCACAATGGTTGCCATGTAATATATAAGACGTTTCCTACCGTTTGTCATTGACGTGTTTCATATAAATATAATTAATATGGTTATATTAACAGGGAATGACAGTCTAAAAAGACATTATCCATGTTAGACACATACAGTAAACAATACTGAATGTGCATGATAATGCTTAAATGTTCCTCTGCACAACAACAACTAAATGCCTATGTTGACTGTATCCATACTTAGCATTTGGTGTGCATACATGTATTAGATATCGAGGTATGTTATATTAATAGGTAAGGTAAACAGTAATGGCATCTCACTTTTATTTAAGTAATATCTGGTGCAACCAGCTCCCAGGTCCAGAACACTTTGTTTGGGATCATAGCAACATGGCAACTCTACCCTATCGTCGATACTGTGTTTCACATAGGGCATCAAACATGCTATGCATGGTGATTATACTGCTTTCATACAGGTATGATTATAATGCAATGTTTACAGTTTACATGTCGATGGATACTTGTAATTATAAAGATAAACTACCCTGGTTATAAGCAGTTGCGGCACCTACACCTACTTACGCTTACCAACCCTACCGAGGCAACAGTGCCCAGACAACAAGGGTTTGTATTGTTCGTTTTGACATCCATCGGACCCACGTTTCAGATACTTTTTTGAGCGACTGTACACAGCAAATGCTCTGAACAAAACCTATTTGATTAGACAATTTTCACCAAAGCAAACCTAACATTGTTATACACTTCGTAAATGTGCTTCACAACCTATGCTGACAAGTATTTAGAAGTAAAACACTGCTGCAATAACTCCCGTAGTTGAAACTCACAAAAGTATAAGACCAAGAACCTCTCATAGTTAGAACTAATAGTTTATTGAAAACCCCATATACACAAAAATCATGTCTGAGCGCCTTTACGTATTCCAGGTATTTACTTTAACTTTTAAATGTAGGATCCACAAAGATACAATATAATAAGAATATATTTATTTGATAATATTTCTCATTACACAGTGAAAAGCTTCTCATATCTTTCAACAGTCAGTAACTAACTCCCTCCAACACCCAGGTCTTCCTCTACTCCAACCTGTGCAGAGGTCCTTGGTTCTACGACGGCCAGGGAAGTATAGACAAACTGTGTTGCCTCAATGGTGACTACCACCCGTGTTTTTAAGTCATTCGGCTTCCTCAGAGACCACCAGAAGTATCTAACAATTGACACGTCTACCTGAAGACTGTCATCACCTGTCAGCTGCAGGAACCACTAACGGCATTATCTTATTCAGTACCAACTACCGTCTGTAATGTCTGTTTTAAGAACTAGTTGTACTCAAGAGCAATCAAATGCTTGTACCCTGAAAATACTTCCTGCACTTATCTACCATTAAGCATTTGTACTTTGATAACTATACCATCAGCGGTGACGACCCGAAAATATTCCAATGACTGAGGATTCAACCTATCCAGCTGCTGCCTCCACCTGACTTGCTCTCCACTGACAGAAGGTTTTAGAAAATGAGCTGAATTTTAAATTTATGGAAAATGTGAAGATATTTCTGTGCTTCACATAACACTGATGTGCGTGGTGGAAGTTATGTAGTGATGTAAATAATAAATGCATTTGAGTTTTGACATTATTTTTTCTTACCTCACTTAACATGCACAGTGCTTGACTAAGTGTGCCTGTATAGACCCTCACAGACGTACACCTTCACGATAGCCTCACAGGCATATGCCGTCACAGCAGCCTCACAGACATACAACGTCATAACAGCCTCACAGACATACAGCAGCCTCACAGACATACAACGTCACGGCAGCCTCACAGACATACAACGTCACGGCAGCCTCACAGACATACAACGTCATAGCAGCCTCACAGACATGCAACGTCACAGCAGCCTCACAGACATACAACGTCACAGCAGCCTCACGGACATACAACGTCACAGCAGCCTCACGGACATACAACGTCACATACAGACGTCACAGCAGCCTCACAGACATACAACGTCACAGCAGCCTCACAGACATGCAACGTCATAGCAGCCTCACAGACATACAACGTCACAGCAGCCTCACAGACATATAACGTCACAGCAGCCTCACAGACATACAACGTCACAGCAACCTCACAGACATATAACGTCACAGCAGCCTCACAGACATACAACGTCACAGCCTCACAGACACAACGTCACAGCAGCCTCACAGACATACAACTTCACAGCAGCCTCACAGACATACAACGTCACAGCAGCCTCACAGACATACAACGTCACAGCAGCCTCACAGACATACAACGTCACAGCAGCCTCACAGACATACAACGTCACAGCAGCCTCACAGACATACAACGTCACAGCAGCCTCACAGACAGATGAGTTTTCTAGCCCCATCTGCGTTTTTCTCAGTACAGCATCATTTTCATATTCCAGATGATTTTTCTGTTCCATCTGCCTTTCGCCCTTCCGGCCGGGATGAAAGCCGGTCCACTGATGGGTTGTCATCGCCTTGGATGACGTGTCAGGCAGGTTCCGCGGACCAGGATTCGCCCTCCGTACGTGAGTGTCGGCGAGACCAAAGACCGTCCTGTCCCACACCCTCACAGTGGTGAATCCCTCCCTGGCTGGGCTTACCAGGGTTCGTTTGTGTGGTGCTGCATTCCACACTCCTTAACTTCCTAAAGTAGAAAAATATAAAATCTTCTTAATCCTAGACCAAAGGAGGACTTGGGAGAAGTGAAGTGGTATGTGGTGGGTGGTGGGTTGGGTGCTGCATTCATCACGCTGCTTCTCCTCTGCTCGTATGTACTGTGGTTGAAGTCCGGCTGGCCATGGGGCGGTACTGTGTGTGACATTTGGCAGAGTAACATTCCTAAAGGGATGATGGATTAGTTGGAAGTGCATCAGTAAAAAAAAGTTTACTCTATAATTTACGTCAATGTTTGGCAACTACAGTATGGTTTCCGTCACGACAATGTTCTCATTAGGCTGGGTCGGGGAGTGAAGCTCTGCTCACTACACTGAATATTATTCATCACTACACGTCGAAGAGTACATTACAAATCATACTAGCATAAAAACAGACTGAGTGAAGCTCTGCGTTTATCGCAATATTAAGTTACATTAACCATCATCATCAACTCATAGCTTACGGGACAAAAGACGGGGGATTAGTGAGGTCATACGACGAGGTGGGGCGGGTGAGGCGGGGCGGGTGAGGCGGGGCGGGTGTAGTGGGGAGGACGCGAGGCGTGGCTGGCCGGGCCAGGCCGGGCCAGACCGGGGCGGGTCGGGGTAGGGCAGGGCAGGGCAGGGACGGAAGGGTAAGGATAAGGAGGTTGAGGTGAGGATTAGGACAGGAAGGAGGATGTAAGTTACAAGACATGTTAGGTTATAACAGTTAGTATAGACACAGCTTCTATCGCTAAAACACAATGGGTTCATTTAACACTGACTGACAATTAAAATGCACTTGGGATACTGAGAACATTACAGATCGCCGGGGCACTGAGAAATTATGTTGAGCACTGAACATATTGCTAGTAAAAATTTGCGCATACCACGACGAGAGATATTCACTTGAGCTGTAAAGATGACACACTAGGACTTTTCACGCTACTACACAGGGATTCCTTATTACGCACTTTTAAATGATGTTAGTAAGCAAATAGACAAACTAAAGCTTAATAAGCCACCTGGTCCCGATGAGATATTTGCCAGAGTATTAAAGGAATGTAAGGAAGAGCTTAGTATGCCCTAAGCAAAGTTGTTTAACATGTCCTTAAAAACAGGTGTAGTACCAGAATCCTGGAGGATAGCGAATGTAATACCGATTTTCAAGAAGGGGGATAGATCACTATCCTCTAACTACCGCCCAATTAGTCTAACATCAATAGTAGGCAAATTACTGGAAGCAATCATTTCAAACTCTATTCGAAATCACCTGGAGAAGCACACGAGCTCCTCAGTGTATACACAACATTCATACTTCCCAAGCTCACCTATGCCTCCCCCACCTGGTCTTCCTCCCTAAATGCCACACAACGTAAACACCTAGAAAAAGTGCAAAAGAGGGCATGCAAGATTATTCTCTCCCCTTCCTACTCCACATATCAAGAAGCGCTCAACACACTGACCCTTTCGACTCTCACTGACCATCACCACGGCCTCATCTGCAAATTTGGTAAGAAGCTTCTACACCATCCCCGACACCGGCCCCTACTACCACCTGAGATCCCCTGTCCGAGAATTGCTGTTCGACACCACAACCGCATCCAGCCCATACGTGCACGAACTGATCGCTATAAGAACAGCCCAGTCCCAACCATTGTAAAAATTATCAATAACATGTAATAAATCAGTGTATTCACTCCCAGTAAACACTGCTCCCTACACTGTCACTATGTTGAAATGAACTGTAGTTTGAGCTGATCCCCATCTAAGTTACTATATGTCTTATTTGTGTCACTTATGTCACTTGTATATTATTTGTAATTGTAACCCATTCCCCAAATATGTAACTGTATATTTTCAGCCTTCTGCCAAGCTCTTTCAATAAACCGTTAATTATTATTATTATTATTATTAGATTGATCAATGATTTCCAGCATGGCTTCATAAGCGGACGTTCATGTCTAACTAATCTATTAACATTCTTTTCATCAGTTTTCGAATCGGTGGACGAGGGGCACATTTATGATGTGGTATATCTCGACTTTAGCAAAGCCTTCGACAGAGTCCCCCACGAAAGACTAATTAGAAAGGTAGAAGCACATGGCATCAAAGGTAATATCCTTAAATGGATTAGGGGGTGGTTACAGGACAGGAAACAGCGAGTGAGCATTAATGGCACTAAGTCCCATTGGAGCAACGTCACAAGTGGAGTTCCCCAAGGCTCAGTACTTGGACCATTATTATTTATTATATACATAAACGACATAGATATCGGCATAGATAGCAACATAGCAAATTTGCTGATGACACTAAAATAGGATGTGTTATTAAATCTGACGAGGACTCCACAAAACTACAGGAAGATCTAAAAAAATTTTTCGAATGGTCTGAAAAATGGCAGATGAAATTCAATGTGGACAAATGTAAAGTACTCAGTATAGGAGATGTAAACAGGGAAACCAGATACCAGATGAACAACGATGCCATAGAGAAATCCGACTGCGAGAGACATTTAGGAGTAATGATAAGTAGGAGCCTTAAGCCAAGTAAACAATGTGTTTTTGCACGTAACAAGGCTAATAAAGTACTTGGGTTCATACAAAGGAGTGTTAGTTACAAGACTAGCGAGGTCATCCTAAAACTGTATCTTGCTCTTGTGAGACCACACCTGGATTACCCAGTTCAGTTCTGGTCACCGTATTACAGAATGGATATAGAATCCTCCCAAAGAATTCAGAGGAGAATGACAAGACTAATCCCGGGCATTAGGAATCTTGAGTATAGAGACAGGTTAAAGCATCTTAATTTGCACTCCCTCGAGAGACGTAGAGCGAGGGGCGACCTGATAGAGGTGTATAAGTGGAAGGCAGGGCTAAACAAAGGGGACATTACAAAGGTACTCAAACTATCCAACCAGGAGCGAACTCTTAACAATGGTTTTAAATTAGACAAATTTCGATTTAGGCGTGAAATAGGTAAACACTGGTTTGGAAACAGAGTAGTGGATGAATGGAACAAGTTACGAAATATCATCATTAACTCGAATACGCTGAATAGCTTCAAACATAGGTTGGATGCTTATATGAGCAATAGGGGTTGGGTGTAAACGGGACTGCCCAGTATGGGCCAATAGGCCCGCTGCAGTTTCCTCCATTCTTATGTTCTTATGTTCTTATGTACTCAAACTGACGAGTCAGGTGTTATGGCTAAAAGAGGGAAGGCGCGGGTTTACGTTAAGTTCACCGCCGCCATTGTAACAACTAAGCTAGGAGGGCGTGGGTTAATGTATAGCTCGCTGTCACCTGTAATGAGTGGTTTTAAGGGGTAGAAAGTATAGAGAGAATATTTAGTAGTAGGAGGATGTAAGGACAAGAAGTTTGGTAGCATGGCCGGTTAGTTATTTACACTTATCTTATCTTATACGTTCTTAAGGGACAACTTCTCAAACACCACTTCAATACAACTATTTATTAATTTACTCAATGACACAGACACATTAATATCAATATTATATCGACGTTACTGGAACATCATATTTACGTTACTACACTGACTCACGGACCCAAACATGAAATGAATACACTTCCCACAGTCGATAACTCACCCTAGAGATCGCTCTGACAAAGACTCACGTGTAACCTGACGGGGGCCTAGCGGGTGCGACTGGACTGTCTCGTATGAGAGACTCTGCTTAGCTGGTGACGCCGGGGTCTGGTCTGGAAGTCTCCCTCCCGACCTGGGGAGAGGACGAGCGTGACTCTGTGTGAGTGAACAGAATGACGACCCAAACGGGAGAGAGATGAGTCGAATGCGAATAAGTCTATTGTGCCCAAATGAGCCCGTGGATGGGACTGCAGGGCCTTTATGTGGGGGAGAAACAGTCGGTCTGGACAGCTGTGTTTGCCCAGGTGCATAGTCATGCCCGGGTGTGTCTTGGCTAGGTGTGGTTGTA